AATTTAACAAATTAAATAGGTGGCAGTACAATTTCTTTCAAAACTGCAGCCGAGGTCAACGTCACGAGTAATTCAGATATAAAGTGCATAACACAGACAAGCYGTGTCACCTGTTCGTCATGGGGTCATCGTCAGCGACAGCAGTGGACGTGATGCTGTTCAAATGCATCGGGCTGTTCCAGTTGCTATGCCCGGCCGACCGCGGAGGTTACAGCGTCCTGTTCAGGCGCGCGCTGATGACGGCGCTTGGCCTGTCGTTCGCGTTGCACTTGTTCCAGGTGCCCTGTCTGTACTACGCGCTCAACGACTTTCAGCGGTTCGCGTACATGGCCGCCGTCATCATATACGGCATAATGTGCGCGTTTAAGGGTTACGTGCTGTTGACCAACGCTGACCGTCTGTGGTCGGTGCTGGACGCGGCCGAATACGCGTATACCGKATGCGGGCGCCAYGACCCGTCCGAGCTGCGCCGGTGCCGGGCCACGCTGTCCGCGTTTCTCCGTACGTTCGTGGCGCTTAGCTACGGCACGCTGATCGTGTGGATCGTGCTGCCTTTTTTCGTTGACGAGTACACGGGCGTCGTCAACCTGGACGGCACCGTCACCCGGTACCGCACCACCATCCACAACATGCAGTTCCCCGTCCCGTTGGCCGTGTACAACTCTCGTCCCGTCTGGGCGCTCATCTACGTCATCGAGGTGTACGTGTGCATCGTCAACGTGTTCATATGGTCGCAGTTCGACTGCTACCTAGTTACCATGTGTTTCGTGCTCAATGCTCAGTTCCACACAATGTCGGCCGGTTATGGTAAGCTCGGCAGTGGTCGCGCCGAGTCAACGTCATCGGACATCACGTCCCGCACAGGTAACGAGGGAGGTAACTTATAAAAAGTGCTGTTTGGCATTGTTTAAGTCTCTGAATTCGTTGTTGTAAGTTATATTGTATTTTAAGGTAAATCACATAATTTATAGTTTTTATGATTATTATTRAACAATGTATTGACATTTCAGTTCACAGTATACAATAGTATTTTTTTTTCCTATTGTAAATAAGATGATTTACATATTATTAAAAATGTTTACAATAAAGTATCTACCTCCTTTAAGTGCAATGCTTGTGATGGTGGTAGAGAGTTACATAACATATAGTATACAATATAATATCGTGTAAAATATAAGTGGCTTACAAATATCTACCTATAATATTAATCAGTATTCAGTACTTGATGTTATATTCTACAGCCGYCGTTGTCCTAATAAAATATAATATATTTCTGATCGTAACTATTTTCAAATTAAAATACACAGATGTTCGTCGGATCAAATTTGATGATGTGGAATCAAATCACTACGATGATTTGATCAGTCACATACAGGATAATCAAAAATTGATCAAGTGAGCATATAGAAGTACAAAAATATTGCAATAATTATAAGTATTTACTCCATGGAACCTATCTAAAGCACCTACGCCTGTATTGAATTTATAAATTATAATATACAGCAGTTGTAATATTTAATTGAAAATGAAAATATTTACGAATTACTTATTTGATAAAAATTAGATGTTCCTATTGTGTTATCGATAAAAGAATAGATCGCCACRATTAATATAAAATATTTTAGGCACCCCATCGCCGTATAATTTTTCGTATGCAATGGTTTATCATTGAGTTCAAATTAAACCATTTTTATGATAACTTACTTAATGACGAAGTATACTCTAAAGTCTAAACCTAATTTCTATACATCAGCTACTTCTCTGCATGTATTTACATTTTTATACTTTTAGGAAGTTTGACGTATTTTTTGAAGTCGTCCGACCCGTTGTCTTAGTCCAGATCGCYAACGGTTCATATTCAGTGATATCGTTAATATTCCTCACCGCACTGGTAAGTGTTTACGACGATACCGTAATATTTAGATCCTTTAAAAAGGTTTTAAGCTTAAAATGATCAATGTATTTTTTTAAAGTATTAATTATGAACCTGTGTGTAAATTGAAAATGAAACCATGTCTTCACAATTGTTTTTCTTTTCTCATCACGTCATAATGTCATATGTACATTGCACACGTACAATTATAGTTATAAACAATTTTTTGGTGACACAAATATTACAACAGTAATACCAGCAAATTGGTTGAAAACCATTGTAGTAGGTCCTAGTATACAAAATGTAGTCAAATTTTGAAAACTCAATTTTTTGTTTTTGCCGCCTCCTTAAATTATATTTTAAACATATAACTCGAAAATTACAAAAATCATTATTTTTCATACCCGTGAGATGAGTTATCGATAGTTTACTGTAGATTAKATGATTATTATGATTACTACAGTAATAATCCATAATTCTGCTATCTACGATTTTTATTTGAACAGTAATTTAATCTTAAATTGTTTTTTAATGATTGTTTTGATTACGCCACACAGACTGAATTATAACATAGAGACTTTTTAGGGCTGTAATTGGTTCTGTTCCGTTACAAGAAAGGCTAGGTTAGGTTAGAAGAGAACTAAAATAAGAACTACTGAATTATATACAAAGATGTTAATATTAAACTTACACACTTATCTTTAAATTAATATTTTACCAACAATTAACGAAATTATTATGATWAATGTATAATATATTTTATAAATATTTGTAAATAATATTTTACCAGAAAATAGATTATGTACGGAATGCCCTATTATTTATTAACACATTGTCAGTAATTGTGAATGCAAAAAAAGATAATATATTTTACTTCAATWTTTTACAATTTAGATGTATCTCATGGGTGTTCCAATTTTATCAGCACCGTTCTTAAAATTCGTTTGTGGATTGATATCACTTACTATTGAACTCTTTATTTTTTGTTATGGATTCAACCATATTGAAACTGCGGTAAGACAATTTCATTTTCTTTTACCAACAATTATGATGTATATTAATATCTCTTTAATTGTGTGCTGCCATAGAAATCTGTTGTGAATCTTGGGTTGTATAATAGCAATTGGACTGAAATGGATTTGTCATTTAAAAAAACTATGTTGTTGGCTATGAAGATGAATACCTCACATAAACGAGCGATGAAAGTTTCACCTAATTCCGCCGTCGGCCTGGAAATGTTTGCTAGGGTTAGTTTTTMATATTTTTTATTTTAATAGTATGTATTTCCATATTGGTATTTACATTACACAATACACATATATAAGTATATTCTGATATTCATATATRTATATAATATTTTAATATCACATTTGTATGATACATAAATAAAAAAATAGAATTAATAGAAATTCATTCATTTTTCATTAGAATTTAACTGCAATAGTTATTAAACATAATATTATAATTGTGATAATTTTCAGGTAATGAATATGTCATACTCAATAGTTTCCGTATTACTAAATTCAAGATCTTAAAAAACTTAGTAAAGAACACAAATTATCAAACAATGAATTGAATATTATATTTATATTTATTGGTTCAATTAAAAATTAAGAAACTTAAATAATTTTAAACGCTTAGATTACATTTTTAGTTAATGCTTGAACAAAATGTACACAATGATCAAAATGATTATAAGCTTTTCATAGTTTTACTTATTACTTATTTCCGTACTATTGAAAAATTGTATTAGTTTTGGAATATAATAATGYATTCAGTACAACATAGTAAAAATCTAAAGTTTGTTATTAAGCTTGTAAAATTGTTACCAATACATGATGTTGAACAGTTATTTCTTAGTGATGATAATAATTTTTTTTATTGATCTTAATTATTACAATTTTGATATTGATTAGGTATTAAAATAAAAACTAACGTTTTGATATTGTCTTCTGGATCTAGTCYGAATGAGACATTTCAATCGAGTTTTGCGGCAAAACCAAGATTCCTGAAAAGGAAAAGAGAATAAAAAAACTTTGCAAAAAAAATTTCATTAAAATAAACTACAATTTTTATTGCTTATACTAKGTATAGTAATAGCTTTTATACCTATAAAAAGACCGGGTATATATTCAATATATCCTATTCAAACTAAATAAAAAAACATTTGTTTAAATTTTTATCTATATTTTTACTGTATCTAAATCTAAAACTATCATTCTTCTAGAATTTTTTTTTATAAATGCTCGATATTTCTTTTCTATACTGTCATATTTGACAGAAATACAGCCTATGGGGAGGTGTCATGTCCTTTCCCTCCTAATCCTAATTATACACCACTAGTGGTGTCTCATRTTTATTTGGAAATGGTCAAGAATTATACATAGATCCACTAATGTGGTATCAATTTAATTTGGGTAATAATTTATTATTATCACTATTGGCTATTCATATTTATYATTAAACAAAATKTTATTCAGTTTTAGTATGTATATATTGTTGTTATTTGTTAATATAATACAACGATCAAAAGCATGGCAATAATTATATAAACATAAACCATCGTATGCGTCGAATACAATAAATAAAAGTAATAAGCAAATCACTACCTAATATACACACATGCATACATTATAATATAGTATTACAACTTAATGTCATGGTAAGTAAATTGTGTTTTACAAAATAAAGATTGCGTGTTGAAAAAACTATTAAATATTAAAATTGTCCCAGGGATCAAAAATAAAATCTAAGTATATAATATTAATAAAATAATAACTGTACCTGCTTACTACATACAATACGCTGAGTGCATAATAATAATAATAATAATAATAATAATAATATGCATTCAGAGTAAATAAATAAATACATAAATCACAATATACAAGGTGATTCACCAAGCATGCTCACCTCTATTTTTGCTTTAATAACAGTCTTAATAAAATTATAGTTTTTGAAATTTCTAAATATAAATGTACTTACTACCTTCAGATTATAGTTTCAAATTCTTGACACGTCTAGAGATTATAGAGTGTCAAATGTGACGATCAATTTATACTATTATTTTTCAAATAAGAACCCCCACGCCCTTTTACCGTTAATTATTTAATGGATAAAACTTTRTACACTTTATTTAAAATTTGAACCAGTAAATTATCAGTTATTAAATTGTTCATACTAAG